CGTAATTATCCTTCTGACTGTATATTGCAATTACTCAGGATGAGAGCTAAATATCAGTGGCCTCCCCACACTAAACAAAGAAATCAGAATCTCTGAGGAGGGGCCTGTTCTGGCTACTCCTACATAGAAGCTATTCCTCTACTCATTCACTTTTAAAAGTCTGATATACCTGAGGCTTCCATCATCATACTAATTTCCTAGGAAGGCACTTGACAAATAGAAGGAGTTCCATAACTACTTTTTGAGAAGAGAAAAGAACTGTGGTAGGTCAGTGGAGAGGTGGAGAGTTAAGATCACTGCGCAGAAGTGTGCCAGGCAAAGGCCCCCTCTGAGGTTGATAAAAGAGGCTATCCGAAGGGCAAGGTCCCCTCCATATGTGTTTATTTTGTCTTTTGAAAATGTCATTATGTTACGAACGTTTAGGGTTCCGATCCTCAAGGTAAACATAGCATTCATTCTGTCTCTTCCATCCAAAGGCTCATACAAAGACACAATCAGGTCATGAAAGGCGCAGAGTTGAACTGGTGCGTGGTTTGCGGAGGACTGTAACCAAATGAGCGTGTCTTGTCAAGACTTGGACCAACTCATTGTTAAGTGTGGAATCAGATTGCCTTAGTGTGTTATATGTATGCCCTCCTAGTGTACGGAGCATCTTCAATATTTTTTGAATACACAGTTATTAAATACTTATAAACATTTATGGACCATGTGCCCAGCATACTGCCAGGCAGGCTTTTCCATTCAAATCAGTATATTGACCATCCCTCCGTGAGGCTCAAATGACACCAAGTCCATGCCTCGTTTGTGTTCTTTCTGAAAGTCATCTTCTAACCTTCCTGCCAATCAAGAAAAAGCTATCATTTAGAATCTGAGTCAAAGTGAATCTACTCCTGAAATCTTCTCTTTAAAAAAATTAATTATTTGAGAGAGAGCAAAGGAGAGAGAGAGTTCTGAGAACTCCCATCTGCACTGAATCCAGTACATGTGGTTTCTCAATAAAGGTTTGTTAATAAAATTAACTGCAAGCTTACTGGGTATCCAATCATTTTTCCTAGATGAGTCATCAGGAATGAGTCAGTCAGGGTCTGTCTATGGTCTGGAAAATGTATGGAGTAGCTTCCCCTGAAACCCAGTGGAAACAGGTCCCTGGATTCTGAATTCTCTCTGCTCCATTGGGATACGTCTCTTCAACCATGACTATTCCTTGTTTTAGAATTACTCCCTAAATACATTCCAGTCATGAGTGTGTTCCTTTTCTCCATGTCATTAGGACGCTGCTCACAAAGACCTGCATTTTCAAACATAAAAATTTTCTTTGACTCAGAACAGTAAACAATTTCCACCTAATTGATAGTCCTACTTGGATATTTAATTTTAAATGACTTCCATAAAATCTGCAACATTTCTTTTATTTTCTATACTGAGTGCTTTTGGCTAGATTCACACCCTAAAATGCCAATGGGTTTGAGCCAAAGCTGCATAGTTTTGTAGCTAATAATAACAATAATAATGAGCACATTTCAAAAGTGCTAATTACAAATTCAATTGGATATATGCTTATTATAAATGCTACAGGTTTTCTGCCAGGTTGGTACTTTACAACAGTATGTTTTCAAACACCTGTTTACCTTTATCATTACTAGCTACATTCATTCAAAAAGAGAAACTTCAAAGTTTAGATATATGTTAAGTCTTATGTGTCTTCATAAAATTTGGAATTGTTTACCCAGAATCTTTGACAGCACACATTGAATCAAAAGAAATATATAGATGATAGATAATAGAGCTATAGATGATTGATAGATATACTGATGATATATTGATAGATGATAGATTGGATAATCAATAAATAGGTAGATATTATTTTCTACCTTGTGTAAAGATATGAAAAATTAAAAATTCTTCATTTACCCAATATACAACTATAGAGAGAAAACAGAATTATCCTAGTGATTTCTTCACACCAAAGGAAACAATTATGGTTAACTCTATTCCATGTAGGAAGTAAGACTAAAAAGGTGATTAAGATATAGGACTGCTTAAATCAACTAAAGGAGTTTCTCTGTAGATAAATGTGATAAGGAGGTAAAAATAGTTGGGAGAAGGAAAGTACAGCCATAAAGGACAAGTTAAACGTGGGCTTAAGATGTCAAACAGAGGTTATAGGGTTAGTATAGGATAGGAACTTTGCTTCTTTAATTCAGTTCCAGGAATATGGTTCATGAGAGAATCTTCTTTAAATCTGGAGACAAGGAAATGCATTCCATCGTGCTCCATGTGTGGTCACTGTTAGCGAGTCTCACTTGCAGAAGCAGAAGACTCAGGCTTGTTTTATTGAAATCTCCATCTCAGAAATAAGATGGATGCCTTAGACAGGGGTTCTCAATCACAGCTCTATGTTACAATCACCTGGGGAGCCTTAAAACATGTTAATGCCCCACCCCCAAGAAATGAATCTGAAGCTCTAGGGGTGGGGGCCAGACAGTGGTTTTTAAAAGCTCCCCAGATGATTCTACTGTAAAAGTAGGGTTGAGAGTCACTATATTAAGAAAGGGAGAGATGTTAGATTTATTAAGTGTCTCCATAGTTCTTACTCTTGCCAATACTTTGGGGAAAAAAATTTAAGAGCATGTAACTCACACAAAAGAAAACAGCATGGAGATCAGTGTTTCATCATGGACTGCTACTCCTCAAACCCAGGTGCTCTGTCTTTCCTCGCCTTTAAAAAGCAAAATGAGCTTGGAGAGGTTCCCATGGTTTAAAGAAGGAATTGTTGTAGGATTAAGATAATGATGACTACACTGAATTGAAACTTAACCAAATATTTGAAAACTGATGAGTTCATAATGATATGTCAAATATAAGATGAAAATGTACAGTGGGTTAAGCTGTTACCTTCAACACCAGCATCCCATATCAGAGTGCTGGTTCTTGTCCCAGCTACTCTGCTTCCAATCCAGCTCCCTTCTAATTAATGCCCCTGCAAAAGCAATGTAAGATGGCCCAAGTCCATGGGCCCCTGCCACCCACATGACAGAACTGGATGGAAATCCATGCTTCTGGCTTCATCATGGCCCAGCCCTGGTCAGTGCAGCCATGTTGGAAATGAACCAGCAGATGGAAAATCTCTTCTCTCTCTCTCTCCCTCTCTCTCCTTCTCTCTCCCTTTTTCTGTGACAGTCTAACTTTCAATAAATAAATAAATCTTTAAAAAAAAAACAATTGATCACTTTGTATGTTGCTGAAAATGTATAAATTAAGAGAAAATTTCTTTCACCTTTCTCTGCTTGGACTAGAACTCAGGCTAATTGATTGATGAGGAAAACAATGTCTTCTATATAGAAGAATCATGCAGAAAAAAGGGGCATAATTGAAAAGAATTGTTTTCTACTCCCTAACTAAATAATGAACATGGGCAATATAATCAGTGGCCACTAAAATAGATAAAGACATGTGTACTTTTTTTATTTTTATTTTTTTTGCCAACCATTATACTGAGTCTCTCAAATTCTTACGGGAGAGGCTGTTTTGGACCTTTGTAATGGAGGATCAGGCAGATGGCCCTTGTATCAGTCTCCACAGCTGCTGTAACAAATCACCACAAACTTGGTGGCTTTCAACAACCATCAGTTATTCTCTGATGATTCTGGAGGCCAGATGTCCCAAATCCATTTCACCAGGCACAGTCAAGTTGTAGATTGGGCTGTACTCCCTCTGGATGCTTTAGGAGGGAAACTGTTCCTCTCCTCTTCCCCTTTCTGGAAGCTGTCGGTGTCCCTTGATTTGTGGCCGCTTCTGAGTAAATCACATTGTCTCCTCCTGTTTTATGTGTGTATGTGTGAAATCTACTCTCTCTCCTTACTATAAGAACAAACACATTAGTATCTGGGTCTTAACCAAATCTCAAGAGCTTTAATTTAGTCACATCTAGAAATATCCATTTCCTCTCTTTTTTCCCATAAGATAAAAGTCATAGTTTGAATAGATTAAGACTTTTTTTTTTTGGCCGACCGTTACACTGAGTCACTGATCAATCTTTGTATTAAAGAAAATGGGATACAACTTGACTCTCACTGGGATTAAACATGACAATAGGTCTGATCTGATTTCATCATCATTTAAAAAAATCATTATTTTTCACTTTATGTTTCTGTGTGGGAGCAAACTGTTGAAATCCTTACTTAATGTATACTAAGCTGATCTTCTGTATATTAAGATAATTGAAAATGAATCTTCATGTGAATGGAAGGGGAGAGGGAGTGGGAGAGGGGAGGGTTGTGGGTGGGAGGGATGGTGGGGGGGGAAGCCATTGTAATCCATGAGTCGTACTTTGGAAATTTATATTCATTAAATAAAAGTTAAAAAAAAAAAGAAGATAGGATAAATATTTTATTCCTTATGTGCCTGAAACGAGATGTACCCGAGACAAAATAGTTCACCCAATTTCTGAAACCAGAAACCAAAATTTGGGGTTTGGAGTTAAGGATTTTAGAACTGTTAGGTTTTAAAACACCCTAGGAAATGACATTTGCTTTTCATAAAACACAAAAAGGTTAAATCAATGCATAAAACACATGCATTCCCACATGCTGCAGCTTATTAGGATATTTAACTCTGAAATTGTATTGAACTCACAATCTTGGTGTTCAGTTCGAGAACATTGTATGGATTAGTTTGTAAGGTGGATTTCTACAAACAAGCCCGCTTTTAAAGGTAAATCCAGAAGCAAATACTAAATAAAAGATTCTGCTCTCTGGTTTGTGATTTTTTTTTCACCTCTTGCAGTTTTAAAACAAGAAGCTGAACAAAGTCAGTTTTAAAGACAGACAAAAGATCTTACATTGCTGGTATAATCGGTTGCTAACCCTAAGTCTTGTATGGGCTGGCACTGAATTTAACTTCAAATCACTCAAATCAAGAAGAGCTACTCTCAGTATGTCATCAGGAAGCTCTCCAAGAGGTATTTTTACCCCAGCTTCATCTAAGTTATGACAACTCACCTGGTTGGTTTCTGGTTGGAATTTAAGTAGAGAGAGGCATCAAAGCGACAGCATGTTGCTCTATGTTCCCCCTAAGGGGTGATGAAGAGGAAAAGCAAACCTAGAGGGAAAGATTTCAAAGTCCCCTCACTGTGTCTCCAGATTGGAAAAAAACAATGACCACTGTTGATATTTTGTCTACTCAGAGTTGGAACTCTTGTCTCTTCTATAGGCACCTATTTGTCCATTTATTTATTTTACTGCTTTGATCTTGATGCAGGTCCCTATGATTCCAGTCCTTAAAACTTGCAGCCCTGAGTCTGGTCCTGGGGCTGGTACTGGGCATAGAGGGTAAAGCTGCCACCTGCCATGTCAGCATCCCCTATGGGCTCCAGTTCAAGTCCTGGCTGCTCAATTTCCAATCCACCTCCCTGCTGGCCTAGGAAAGCAATGAGAGATGACCCACGTGCTTGGGCCCCTGCACCCACGTGGAAAAACTGGAAAAAGCTCTGGTTCTTGGAGTTGGACTGGCCCAGCTCCTGCTGCTGTGGCCATCTGGGGAGTGAACCAGTGAATGGAAGATCCCTCCCCCTCTCTGTGTCTCCCTCTCTCTTGTAACTCTGCCTTTCAAATAAAATAAATACATCTTTAAAAAATAAACAAAAATAACTGGCTGTATTCCTGGTCATGGCTTCAAATGATGGGATTCTGCATGAAGCTTCCTCTCCCCATGACTGAGCTGCAACAGTTCTGGGCTAGTTTGTCTTCCACAGAGTCGTATCCTCAGGACATCTGAGTTCTCACATTGGGAGAAAATAGAGTCTAGTGCCTGCTTAATTCACATGGAATAAAGTAGGTAGACAGATACATAGAGGGGGGAGAGAAAGAGAGAAATACAAGTAGATCTACAGAAGTGTATATAGTCGGAGATGCTACAGTTTTCAGGAAACTTTCTCTCTTTACATTAGTTGACTCTCTGATCTAGACATTTCCCTAATTTTTCAGATAAAGTCTACTTTGCTGCCAATGCTATTATTTTTCTCACTTTAGCTTTATTATGATTGCATATGTAGTTCAACCTTTTCATCTTATTTCTTGCATTTTTGGTATTTTTTCTTGTTTATTTTTCTCTACTTAAACTGATTTTGAAGAGATTGAGTTACCTTTATTCTCATTTTTTTCTGCTTTACTGGTTAGGAAAATATATAGGCTACTTCTGCGATTTTAGCTATTACACTTAAATTTCTAACATGTCCTAATCTAAAGCTTAACTCACCTTGCTAATCTGTTCGAATACAGCAAAATGTCTTACAAACCTTTATGGCTAACCCTCCTACCTTACATGCCTTTTTTCAAGTATTTTAGCTCCACCTTAATTTAAAGTCCTACCAAATCATTCATTTTAACTACAATCATCATCCATATTCTGCTAGGATTTGTAATTTCTCCATATCAGCTCTATGGCTGACAGTCAAGCAGGTTATTAAGAAATGTATTGCCATTATCCAGTCCTACATTTGTTCTAAAATCCTTACTTAAGATTTCAAGAAGAATATAATTGGACAAATAAGCAAAATTTTTGTTTCAGAATGAATACTGGACAGTTCACATTTTTCTGTTAATATGCTCCAGGACAATATTGAATGAAATTGATGAATAAAATTTGCTCTCAGTGAAAGACAAAGACACATTTTAAATGCCTTTTAAAAAAAATTCTGGCCTGCTTTGTGATAGTGGGTAGAGCCACTGCTTGCAGTGCCGGTGCCATATGGGCACCTGTTTGAGACCCTGTTGCTCCACTTCCAATCCAGCTCTCTGCTATGGCCTGGAAAAGCAGCAGAGGATGTCCCAAGTGCTGGCTCCCCTGCACCCACGTGGGAGACCCAAAGGAAGCTCCTGGCTCCTGGCTTCAGCCTGGTCCAGCCCAGGCTGTTGCAGCCATCAAGGAGTAAACCAGCAGATGGAAGATCTCTTTGTGTGTGGGTGTGTGGGTGTGCGTGTGTAACTCCATCTTCCAAATAAACAAATAAATCATTAAAAATATTTATTTGAGACAGTAAAAGAAACATATAGACAGGAAATTCCCATCCACTGGTTCATTCCCCCAAATACTACTACCGCCTGGAGCCAAGGGTGGAAGCCAGATGCCAGGGATTCAATCCAGTTTCTCACATAGGTGTCAGGAATTCAGTCACTTGCGTCATCACTGCTGTTTTCCAGAGTCTGCATTATTAGGAAGCTGGTGTCAGGAGCAGAGCCAGGTAGCAGATCTGGCCACTGTGATATGGGACACGGGTGTCTTAACTGACAGGCCAAACACCTGTCCCCAAGACACAATTCAGATACTGTTTGTATCGCTCTCTCTCTCTCATTTTTTTTTTTGTCTCTCCCCTTCTCTCTCTCTCTCTCAAGATTTTATTTAATTATTTATTTAAAAATCGGACAGGCATAGAAAGGGAGACAGAGGGACCAGCGCTGTGGCATAGCAGGTGAAGCTGCTGCCTGCGGTGCTGGCATCCCATAAGGGCACCGGTCTGTGTCCTGGCTGCTCCACTTCTGATCCAGCTTTCTGCTAGGGTCTGGGAAAGCAGCAGAAGATGGCCCAAGTCCTTGGACCCCAGCACCCGTGTGGGAGATCAGGAAGAAGCTCCTGGCTCCTGGCTTCAGATCGGCACAACTCTGGCCGTTGCAGCCATGTGGGGAGTGATCGAGCAGATGGAAGACCTTTCTCTATCTGACTCTGCCTCTCTGTAACTCTGCCTTTCAAATAAAATAAATATTTTTTTATTTATTTTTTATTTTTATTTATTTTTTTATTTATTTATTTTTTTTGACAGGCAGAGTGGACAGTGAGAGAGAGAGAGACAGAGAGAAAGGTCTTCCTTTGCCGTTGGTTCACCCTCCAATGGCCGCCACGGCCGGCGCGCCGATCCGATGGCAGGAGCCAGGAGCCAGGTGCTTTTCCTGGTCTCCCATGGGGTGCAGGGCCCAAGCACCTGGGCCATCCTCCACTGCACTCCCTGGCCATAGCAGAGGGCTGGCCTGGAAGAGGGGCAACCGGGACAGAATCCGGCGCCCCGACCGGGACTAGAACCCGGTGTGCCGGCGCCACTAGGCGAAGGATTAGCCTAGTGAGCCACGGCGCCGGCCTCAAATAAAATAAATCTTAAAAAAAAGAAAGAGGGGGACAGAGAAAAGGAGATCCTTTACCTGCTGATTCATTCTCCGAATGGCTGCAACAGCCTGAATTGACCCAGAATTGAGTCTCTCAGGTGGATAGCAGTGACTCAGTACTTGGGCGATCGTCCTCTACCTCCCAGGCACACCAGCAGAGAGCTGGAGGGCAAGCAGAGCATGCGGGACTTGAACCAGCATGCAATATGGAATGCAGGTGACTCAAGCAGCAACCCAGTCCACTGTGCCGCACACCCTCCCTTTCTTGAAACAATATGGTGACTATTTAAATTTTACTATGGAGATACTTCCCATCTCTTTTAACAGATTTCAATAAAATTTAAAAGTGACAGAGATAAATGTCTTAAAATGAATCTGTAAATTCATTGATAATTTTCTAATCAGTCCTACTTTTATTAAATTATCTTTGGAAATTTAATTAAAATTTTAATTAATTCCATTTATGAACTGCAATAATGTCTCCTAATTATGTGATTACACCAAGTGAAGTCTGCTGTTCACAGAAGCACTGTCGAAAATGTCTAAAATCACCAAGGCTATGTTATCTTTTCTCAATAATAGACATAGCCTAGAAAACTGCCCTTGTTATTAGTACTCTTTGTGTTTCTTATAGTACATTAACAGAACCTAAAAGTGCTGATCTCTAACAAGTATACAAGTACACAAACCATGCCAAGGGAAATGGTGCCAAACTTGTCCAGCTTTCATGGTGACAACTTCACAGAAGGTAACAAGGTAGTGAAACATCTATTGCAAGGAAAACTTCAAAGATCACAACATCTCAGGTTGGACGGAGCCTGAAAGATGCTCTCCTAACCGCCCTACACCCATCTCAGATTTTACTCGATTTGGAATCTTGGTTCCATGCAGCAGCGATCTTGATAACCAACCACAGCAATCTGCAGGCGCTCCGCCTTGGGTTGATTCTAGATTAAAATAAGTTGGCTTTCTGCCCTTGGCAATGCCAGCAGCTACCATGGTGTTTGCAAGTTGCTTGCACTTGGTAGTTTGCTTTGCCCCCAGAAGTCAAAAAGGAGCTTTTAGATTCAACCTTCCTATAAAAAAACTAAAAGGAAGAAAAGAAAGAACATTAAGGATTGAGTCCAGGTTTTGTGCTGCACTCAGTGGAGGTTGGAGAGAGACAGGAGAGGAGACGAGACCATGTCCAGCATACATTTGCTGAACCGCCTTTCCGGGATAAAGTCACATGAAAGCAAATGTGTCCTCTTCACCAGTCCTCGAGAGAAATCCTGGAGTGGTCTCCTCCAGCGCAGACTTTCTTACCTGTGTAAAACCTCCTCCTATCCTGGTACTATGAGCGCAGCACAGCTCTGACGCTTGCTCGCTCTCTCTTTCCCTCCCTGCCCTCTGCCCACACCACTACAGACAGTGGCGCTGCCAATTTCACAGCAGTTAACTTGTGATCGAGGGAGGATGCCCTAAACCAGTCTTCCAACAGTGACAATAACTCCTCCATCAGTCTTTCATGAATGAAAATAATAGCGGCTGGTGCCGCGGCTCACTAGGCTAATCCTCCGCCTTGCGGCGCCGCCTCACCGGGTTCTAGTCCCGGTCGGGGCGCCGGATTCTGTCCCGGTTGCCCCTCTTCCAGGCCAGCTCTCTGCTGTGGCCAGGGAGTGCAGTGGAGGATGGCCCAGGTGCTTGGGCCCTGCACCCCATGGGAGACCAGGAGAAGCACCTGGCTCCTGGCTTCGGATCAGCGAGATGCGATGGCCACAGCGTGCCAGCCGCGGCGGCCATTGGAGGGTGAACCAATGGCAAAGGAAGACCTTTCTCTCTGTCTTTGTCTCTGTGCTTGTCAAAAAAAAAAAAAAAAAAAAAAAAAAAAAAAAAAAAAAAAGAAAGAAAAAGAAAAAAAAGAAAAAGAAAATAATAGCGGACATCTCTACGTCAAGTTAATCATCGCACAATTCTGTGACACTGAATTTCACGGTACCTGGTGAAGTTAGTGGCATTGAGATGCCGCCTCTATTGACAGTGGCATGCAGATTCAGGGAGGTGAAAAGACTTGTTCAAGGTCCTACTGTCAATCATCTCTGGACCCAGGATTCAAGTCAGGTGTCTGACTCCCAAGCAAGCATTGAACCCCTCAACAAAACTGTGCTTGGTTATAGCAGGAGGATGAGGATGATCGGAATGAGCTCACAACCACCTGCCCTCGCACCTGGCACAAGTTCTTAGAATTCCAAGACACCCCTCCAAGCCTGGGCCTATGTCAACAGAGTTTGCTAGAGGAGCTGGGGTTATCTGGGAATCTGGCTGCCAGTGTTGCTTCTCTGATCTGCCTGCTCCGTCCAACGACACAGACCTGACTTTCTTGCCAGCAGCCAGCCATGCAGGGCAGCCAAGACTAACAAGTGTAGGCACTGTGCAGGGTACAGAGAGCATGAATAGCACTATTCTTTGCTGGCCAACACTAGCCCCATTGTTTCAGGCAGTCAATAGAGCTGTGTGGAAAAAAAAATTCACACACAAAGCAAAAGCAGCAAAATTTGTCTCTTTGTGATGGTTTCAAGACTGGGTGAAAAAGTCGTTCTTCACCTGGTGCTACTTTACATATTCTTTCACATGCAGAAAGCACTTTTTGGCAAGGGAAGAACTTTTCTCTCCAAATTAAAAAGTTACAGGTCACAGTGCAGGTGGGGGAACTGGGAGGCGACCTCGAAGTTGAACGCCGCGCATTCATTACACCACAGTGGAGATGGAAATGACGATACATCATTTTGATTTAGTGGACTTCAGCTCTGTTCCCACACTTCTTGATCTATTCGGGACATGCAGGTTTCGCCTGCATTTTCCCAGATAACAGAGACAAAGTTAAAGACACAGCATTAGTGTCTATGTATGACGGGTCTCTCTTCAAGGCAAATGATTGCCAAACTTCCTTTCCCTTCAATAGGATCCATCTCAGATCCTTTTCTGGGGTTCCATTGCTGGTCTGCTGTAAGTCACAACCAGGCAGGCAGGTTTTTGTCCTTTTTTTCTCTTTCCTATTTTTCTCCTGTGTGCACCATTAGATGAAGTTAGAGTCCCACAAACTACTATATGCATTTAACATCTACATGTGGGGAAAGAATGGCTTCTTCTCCTAAGAGCAGGCACTAACACACAGGTCTGATGCTTGTCCATGTTCTTCACACGTCATCTTCTCATTCTCAACCACTTGTAAAATTACTGATGGGGAGAGAAGATCTATGATACAAGTAACCCAAAATAAAGCATTGACTGAATTATTATTTTGTATATCCTGATATCACAGAGTACTGTGAATTCGGTTCCTCTAACCTGAACATCCTTATTTTTGTATTTAAATATCCAAAGCCCCAGAGGCAGCCAAATACAGTGACAAGAGCATGCATGGACTTCAGCTGCATGCTGGTTTAAACCCTGGCTTGTTAAGCAGCTCTGAAGGGTGACTGTGTGCTAGGTTGTCCCAGAAATAAATCGATATGGTCTCTCCTGGTGGAACTGCTAATATTACCCTCTTTCATTTTAAAAAGTATCCTGTTTGAATGATAGATGATCATTTATGTCACCTTGTCAGCATTGATATTTTATTTATTAAATCTGGACAATGGAGCTGGCACTGTGGTGTAGTGGGTAAAGCCGCTACCTGCAATGCCAGCATCCCATATAGGAACCAGTTCAAGTCTCGGCTGTTCCACTTCCCATCCAGCTCTCTGCGATAGCCTGGGAAAGCAGTAGATGATGACCCAAGAGCATGGGCCCCTGCACTGGCCTGGGAGACTTGGAAGAAGCTCCTGGCTCCTAGCTTCAGATTGGCACAGCTGTAGGGGTAACAGCCATCTGAGGAGTGAACCAGCAGAAGACCTCTCTCTCTTTCTCTGCCTCTTTGTAACTTTGCCTTTCAAATAAATCAATAAATCTTTTTTTTTTTTTTTAAATCTGGACAACATCATGTACCTTTTAGGATTAATGTTGATTAAAGGGAATGTATGTGGATCACCTGGCAAGTTGACTGACTCCAAGCAAGGACTCCAAAGGCGTGGCTGTTTATGATGTTGCCTCTGGTGCTGCTGCCTTACAGAACTGTCCCCAAGGGTTCAGGCAATCACAGGCCTCTGGAATAAAAAAATAAAATAAATCCAAGGAATGACATTGAGTCTCCAAGGTTTGATTTTGCCAAGTAAAGAAAGAACTGGAGCGGGGAAAGAGGGAATGACAAACATCTTTTCATGAAAGAAAGTTTATTTAAAAGGTAAAAATGCAGGAAAGAAAATCTTAGAATGAAAGGCCATTTAACTGAAAGTACTCATTATTTTTTAAAATGCAGTAGGACCTTTTGAAGGGGATCAGAAAATGCCACCCCAAAATATGCCACTTTGGCATAAAGATTATTTTGAGCTGAAAACAACTGAGAATCAACAGGTGCAGGAAGAATTCTCTGCCCTCATATTACCGGCCTAAAAGCAGGCTGTTAATTTTCCTTTGAGAAAAGACCTTTCTTTCCAGGGACTGATGATACTGCTTATCACCAAGGATGAGAGTCAACATCATGATGAACTTACTTAAACAAATCTTACTGAAACAGCCCTTATCTTCCATTTCTCCTAGTCATTTCCCCTATTCTATTATTTCTGGAAGCCCAAACACCTGCTTTCCTTTGTTAAAATGCCGGTATAAACCCCTAAGTCTAACCATTTCTTTCAGTTTGATTTCTTTTCCAGGAATTTCCAAGCACGTACATATAATAACATTTTGCATGCCTTTTCTTGCGGTAATTTGTCCTTTGTAAGTTTAAAACCAACACCCCAGGTACTGAATATAAGTGGTAGAGGAAAAGTTTTTCCTTCTCCACACTTTTTTCACTGCTTTTAGTAGCAAGCCAGTGAGTGCTTAGAGACTAGCAGTGAGCCAAAGGCAGAAAGCTGGGGAAATACTGCCCAAGCGCCATGTAATCCAATCTGCCCCTTCTGTCTGCTCCCTTCCCATTCTTCCTGACATTTCACTCCCCGATTTCTCAAACATTATTTTTTATTTTTACCATCTGACAGCTTTGTGATATTAAATATTCTTTAAGTGCAGTGTGCGGTAGGCTATGGGATACTTTAAAATACATAACATTTTTAACTTCATGTCTTCTTATGTTAAAAATTTTAATTTTGTTAGCTTAAACACAAAATTTTTACCCTCACTCACCTGTGTATTTTTTATAGGTTTTACACACTATTGGAGATTTCAGTTAACATAGGGAAAATGTAAGTGGGTCAATAAAGGAGTACAAAGAGATTTTTTGTGTTATGGGTATAAAGAAAGTATTTGCAAGTTTCATGTTTCCATTTTCAGCAATTTTATCATTGTATCTGCTTAGTTTGGCTTTTGATCTGTAAATAATGCATAACTAAAAAGTCTGTTTTTATTCCCTTTCATGTTCTAAAACCTTCACCTTTGATGAAAAAGTAGGGAAGAACATACCTGAGCAGATGGCTGAAAGGAATGAGTGAGAAAACCCTCCAAGAGGCCTACTCTCTGCCATTCCAGTTTTTCTCTGAATGCCATTTAATACCTACAATGACTTTCTTAGCATTTAACCTAACAATGCTTTCAAAGATTTAATATTACCCTCTTTTCCCTCAAATGATATTTGCATAAGCCATAATTAAGTTTTTGGAGTCTTATAAAAAAAACCTATTGAAAGAAATAAAGCACTGAGGCAAACATTATAAATTGGAGTAGCTAATCACACAAAAAAATGATAATAGCTTCCAAACTGTAAAGTCAAAGTTTACTTATATTTCCTGAATATTATGACTAATAATAATTTAAGATGTATTTATGCAAAGATATATCATTGCTTTCTAACTTGCTCTTTTATTAGAAATGAACTTTAACAACTAAAATCTTGTAACTCAATATCATAATCAAGCCATTGAACTTTTACGTTGAAACTAGGTTATTTCTAAGTACCTCATTTTCAAACATCAGCAGATGAAAAGGCACTTATTCTAAGATGGAAAATTTTAATTGTTTAGGAGAGTAGAAGCTTCTTTGGGCCTGAAATACCCACAAGAAATGTCCTTTCACAGTATGAATCTTTAGAAAAGATGCAGAATCATCATTATTAGTTTAATTCTACCATTAATTTTCTGATTAATACAAAATGGCACATTTCATTGTATTACTGTTTTGTATTTTGTTTTATTAAAGTCCTCAGCAACTTTACAAGTTCTTTAAGGAGTAAAATGTGTAACTGAAGCTGTACCAGAAACAGGATTCATGATTTGTAATCACATAATTCATATCACATGAGGTTGATAAGCAAATGGCAAGAAATACTGAACATTTCTGCAACATTAACTTGGGTCAGTCCTCTGTGATTGGAATGTTATTTTTCACTGGATGATTGAAATACGAAGGGGATTAGGGGTTGGGATGCATGACTAGGATATGTGTAAAACATGTATTTGACAAAGGAAAATGATGCAGGTTGAGTCAAGAGTGCTGCCCGTGGAGCTGGTCTCATTAAAGTCCTCCTCATACACTATTTTCTCAGGACTTTGGACAAAAATTGCATTAGTGGCTTCTTTTTGAAGGTGACAGTTATTTTCAACATTGTATACAACAGAATGAAAAAAATGACAAGAACTTTAAATTAAACCTTAACATGCTACCAAGCTTTGTGTGAAAGGCTAGGTTGGGAACAGCCTGGCAGATATTTCTTTTCTTTCTTTTCTTTTTTTTTTTTTATCAACTTAACAAATGTTTGTTTTCAATTTGTTTTTGACAATGGACTTAATAAACTCTTTTACCTAGTTAAGATTTATGAAAAGTGCCCCCCCACACTTATCTCATTTATGGAATTTGTAATTTGCATAATGGTAAGACAGGGCATTTTCATTCCTGTCTTTCAAGCACTTCCATTCTAATTTTCATGGTAATAGTAAGTGCACTTAACAACAATGGTCCATTGATCCAGCAAGTCTCCTACCTGCCCTGGAGCAACTGGGCAATTGTTAACCATAGAAGCCACAAAACAGATAAGGGAATCGACCATTAGTGCAAAAGCACTGCCTATAATGGTTTCAATAATAATTAATATGCAGGATAGCTAGCCCTGTCACACACCATTTCAGACTAGAATTGCATCTGTCAGTCCAAATCCTGACTCCATTGGAGGCATCCAGCACCGAATCTAGTTAGACAGCTAACTGAATTAAAACAAAAATCTACAGATGCATGATAAATGCACAGGATGCTATGTCACACATGAATGACTCCTGCACAGGCCAAATGACAGATGTATTTCCGCAACTCCAGGCCAGGCTCCAGCACAAACCACTCTTCATTTATCAATAATTGGGCCTTAATTTCATTTGGCAGTGGTGGAGCAGCATGCTCAGCTTCCTCTCCAATAGACGAACACTAATTAGACTTTTTTTTGGGGGGGGAGGGTGAGAGGGGCACCAATCTTTTGATTTTATTTCAAATAGTCAACCATAAGCAAAGTTAGAACTTATGCTTTAGGAGAGCAGGACGTGGTCTCAGCCACAGCTCATTATTAGTGATAATATTTTTCAATGAGAACAGCTCAAGTTTTAATGTTCCATTTTGATAAAGACAGGGGATATAGGAGATGCAAAGAGAATGAAGAAATATCAAGAAGGATTTTGTCTTTTAAAAAAACTTGCTAATTATTACTCTGAGTTTTGCTTTGCCTTTTAGGTAAATGTGTGTGTGTGTGTGTGTGTGAGAGAGAGAGAGAGAGAGAGAGAGAGAGCAAGACAGAAGCAGAGAAAGAGATATCCACAAACCTCATAAGCAGATGGACTGGTAATGGAAATAAAGAAATCATAGAAAAATTCTTAAAATTTTAGCAGGTCCATTTTCAGAACATTTTTAATGTGGTTGCTCTGATTTGGGGTGACTTCATTGTAATAATTTGTAACATGGCAAATCAGTTCCTAAAAGTATTACTGCACTCCACTACCATCTAAGGAAAAGCCCCCTCAAAGGATTTCTAATCATATGTACAACAGAACAAACCAAGTCTATTGTGAATCATATAAACCAGCCCCAGAATTACAAAAGAATACATAAAAATCCATATATTGGCCACTGTCCTTATATCTGCATTATGGGATTAACGTTCCCTCTTTCAATGCCCACAGAGTCCAAGTGTGTTCATTTGGATGGTTGTTTAAGCAAGAGGCAAATTGGCATGGTGTACTGTGTGTGTGCCACCGCTCTCCCCCTGGGTGGACTTTTCTGCATTAAAGGAGCTGTGGCTAGTTGCTCATTTGAGTTTAGTCTCTGCTTTTAGGTTCTCTTGAGCTTCTGGCCTCTCCTTCCAAATCCTACCCTACAGTGAATGACAAAATGATGCCCTGCTTCTCTTCTACTCCCCCACACAAGCTTAATGTCAGCACAGAGCCCTGTTCCACTCTTGGGAGCATGCTGTTCCCTGCCACTCAGACACCCATCAATATCACACTTATTCTCATTGGCATAGGTTAAGGCAGTGATGTTGTCCTGAGCACTGATTGCTATGCCCAGATGATCTGTTGAAGTTGGCTGCCTAATCCAACATACAGCATAATCGAAGAGGACTAGGAACAGAATCCATTCCTGTTTCACCCCAGTAACTATGCCAAATTCAACAGAGAGCTCTCCATATGGTCTAACACAAGTGAGGTAATGTGTATATTATGCCATAATAAATGAAGTCTCATAGGTTTCAATGGCTCATAGTAGCTATCAGGAATTTTCCCTAGCAACTCATGGGAAACTGAGCAGCATGTCATAAATGGGAAAGCCATAAATAATTTTGCAACTCAGCCACCAGGGCTGTGGTGAAATGCTGTGCTTGCATGATTGACTAAACACTGACAGACATGGGAGCATGTCTGCCATTTTGTAAGCAGGCTCCCCTGAAGAACACAGGAGTACCAAAGGATTGGCAATGAACTTAGAAAAATCCAAAGGCTTAAAGAATTGTGAAAATGATGGCCTGGATATTGTGCTAGGGATAACTCCAGAGTAGCATGATTTGTAAAGACTGTTGGCATTTGTACTTCTCAGGAGATATTTAATGAGAAAGATAAAACATGGAGTTTGTGGAGCA